AGAGAGCTGAGAGGAATGGGTGGGAAGTGGGGGAAGAGCCCCCCTCAGGCTAAAGTTGCCTGGGCCCTGGGAACAGCCTGATGTATGTGCGTAGCTGAAAGACATGCCTGGATGTGTGTGACAGCGAGCCTGGAGCAGGTGAGTTCTAGGATCCAGGTGAGTAGCCAACTCCCTGTGCAGACCTCCACCGACTCCCTCAGCCTTGCTCTTGAGCAACTCTGCCGCCAACTCCCTCCCCTTCCCTCTCCGCCCCACAGTCTAGAACACAGCTGCTGATGTGGTGGGAGAGAGATTGGTGAAGCATAGAGAATCATAGACAAGTAGGGCTGGAAAGAACCCCTCTGCTCACCAGGCCTCTAGTGGCAAGTCACAGCTGTGCAGATACAAGAAGGTTTCTAGACAACTAGGTGTGACAGCTCCCAAGTCCAACCTAGCACTAAGTTGATCAACATTTGTGTGGCTCAAAGTACAATGTGTAACAAGGCCCTGTCTACACCACAGAACTATTGTTTGTATAAGCTCATTAAGAATGCATTAATAACAAATCCCCAAAGAAGCTTACCATAATTTAAAACGCATCATTTCTTCTACAAATTTAACTAGTAGAAGCTCATTCCACATATGTTTACTGCACTTTCTCCTTATTCTCTGAAAGAGAAAGTAGCCAGATGGACTTGCAGTGAAATAGTCCACACACTGTGAAGCTGTAACACTAACTCATGTCTTTATCTGGGCAAGCAAATGGATCCACATGTTCAATTGTTAAGAAAATGTAGTATATACACATTACAGATACTTCGCCATACTAGTATAATCTTTCCTAATTAGAAGCTTCTCACTTGAAGATTCTTGGAAACAACTCAACATCCCTGCAACTATCTAATGATTAAGGTGTTGTTGTCTTAAAGTGCCCATCTGTGCCCCTTTAAACTTTAAACATTCTCCTGGCATTACAAAAGCTGTAGCTATCCCTTGCTATTAATTAAGCATGTTACAAATTAATTTTATTTTGAGAATATTCTCATTTGGCATACCAATTTATGAAGTAACCAAATGTGTTTATAATTGCTCTCAATTGCTTTTCATCTCCTAGATGCAAGACTTTAATCTCAAAATGTGTTTGTAGGTGCTAAACAAATCACCTAGGTACAAAACCCTGTGTGTTCCCTCTCCTAGCTAATTTTTACAAATCTGCTATGAAGACAAACAATTTAACAAGTCTGTAAATTAGCACTACTAAACTTCATACATTCTGTTTCCACTGATCTCTTACACAGGACATAATCTTAACTCTTCCATGGCAGAACCCAGGCTCAGTTATATTTTTTACTACTGGCACGGAGAGGCAGGATCTAGAGAACAAATGCAGGGATATGGGCAAGGCAGAGTTTGGATTACAGCAAAAGCTAGCAAGAGCAAGGCAAAGCTCCTGAATCCAATGTTAGCCTAAGAGGCCCAAGCCCCAGAAGCAGATAGCTGGGGTTGTCCAGTCTTTGCTGTGTCAGCTGAGGAGAAAGCATTACCGTCACTTCTCATTCTGTCTACATGCATAACTTCTCATTTTCTATCCTCTGGTAAGCCCAGCTACTCAGTCTTAGAGTGGAATGGTAGGGACATTATTTGGTCCCAAGCTGGAGCTGCATTTTTAAATTTTTGGGACTCCAAACCCACTGAGATCTTAGCACGATCTACAATGTCTGCAAACATCTGCAAAAACCTAGCTTTTACTAGTTTTAAATGACTTAATATAATGAATCTGTGGTTATGATATTCTCCTTTGGTAGCTATAACAACAGACATCATCACTGATAAATATGCCAGTATCAAGATAGTGTTAGAAGGTGGATCATATATAAAGGCATAAATGTCCTTTGGCATGCTTTGTTCAGTTTGTTTTAATCATTTGGTTTGTGTTCTGTGATAGGTTTAACTTTTCATTTTAAATATTCAAAATAGGCTAATGGTAGAATATATGTGCTAGAATCCAAAGAAGAACAAAATCCCTAAATTAAAAGGAAATGAATCTTGTTGAGTCTCAGGTTGATGATTTCAATTTTCAATGATCTGTTACAGCTCATTTTAAGATTACAGAAGTGATGTAAAACACAAGTGTTTTGACTGGGTTTAGCTCTTTCAGCTTTTTACACATGAAGAGGAAAACAATTCTTTCTCACAAAGCCGGTCACAGTTCCTGGAGAAATGATGCTAACATGAAAGTAAGGAAAGTGTATTGTTTATTGCTGTTATAGATAAGACAGGAAATTCTGGTTACTGACTCCTGAACTCATTTTGTGTATTGTAGAGTTTAAGTAAAAGTATTTAATGGGTTTAGGATCAAAATATTTTTGGTAAAGATGTTAATTGCTTAATCAGTACTAAAGAGAAAAATAAAGCGTTCTTCCCTTCAGCTCTACTAAAGCTGCCATTCAAAAAGCTTTTCAGGCTTAGTATTTCTTAAGCCCACAGAAAAAACGAAATACACTTTTTTTATCCCCTAATCAATTAGTATGTTTTACTCTTCAATTTTACAGAGTTAAACATTATAAATTGGGATCAAAGGGGATGACTGTGCACTGGTATATTAGCTACTTAAATTATTTTGCATCCATAAATTACAGAATCATAAAAATATGTCCTTCATCCCCTGAGCCTGCAAAGGACACAAGCTGTAATATTCAACTCTCCTTAATAATAATGTGAAGTCAAGAATTCCCCAAATTTCCTCTGGGCAAAAGCCAAAGCATTATACAGAAGTAATGCTATATAAGAAAGAAATAGGATCAAAGAACAATTAACATTAAAGTCTGTGACAGCTTTACCAATAGTAGCACTCTTCTGCTATTCCTAAAAAGATAACAGTTGTAGAAAAATATTTAATTCTTTAATAACTAAAAGAAGCTACCAAGTTACACTATACATTAGATTAGTTAGGTAAATGGGAATGTACAAGCCATTTGGTAACCACAACATTAAGGAGAGCACATGAAGTTCCAAATATGCATTCTAGTGAGAATTAATATTGTGATGCAAACAGAACAAGTAAGCTCTTTTAAAAATTAGTATTATAGTGAGTGGATATATTTTAATAGGCCACACTGGGCACATTTACACATGAAATTAGTGTGCCTAAATAAACTCCAGCACAGTTTGTACCGGAGTTTATTGCCCCCAGGAGCATCATATCCATGTGTGCCCAGGACCACAACATATTGAGCTGCGGCGGGGCAGCATCAGTTGGCAGGGGCCCATGGGGCCAGCCTGCCAGCTCAGGGCTGCTCCAACCTGGCTTAACATGCTGCAAAGAGGCTGGCTGGTGCATGATGGTGCTACAGGTAGCCTCCGCACTGCAGTCCCCTTGTAACCCAGCCAGCCCCGGTCACCGTCTACACATGCGTTGCAGCACAATAAATAACTCTGCTATAAGGCAGTACTTGTGTTGGGCAGTACTAGACTACAGTGGAGCTAATTAATACACTATGACCTAATAGCGCCAAACATGTAAAGTGACGCTTTACTGCAGAGCTTAGTCCACTCCACAGTAAAGTGCAACTGTAGATGCGCTTTGTATACATGAAATAGTACTTCTGATCTGAAGGATAATTCATTAAAGAAAGCCTCTTGGAGGTAGAATGTACTAATAGTGGTGAAATGAAAAACTTTACAGTTTCCAAAAGAAAGAGTTTCCAGAAAGATAAAATAAATGGCTAGACCTACTCAGACTGTAACACTTACAAGAATGCTTTGAAGAGTCGAGGAAGTGGAAGGAAATATCTAAGATACTTACATGGCCCCGCTCTCAGAGTATCTGTACATCTCAGAGCCCTTACTTCACTTACTCTTGCAAAACCTCTCTCACGTAAAGCTATACCAGACGCGGAACTAGACACTATAGGCCCTGATTTTTTAAAGTGTGTGAATAACGACTTTACAAAGACAAAGTTACCTTTTAAAGTCACACAAAATATGTAGAATGCGCATAATCATTTATAGTATGAAGAACATTTATAATTTACATTGATGGTTCAGGAATGGTTTTATATCCCCCAAAATAAGGACAAAAGTCCATACTAGTGATAGTGATGAGCATCTTGTCATTGTCCTAGTTACCTGATGGGTTTTCTTGAGGATTATTCTTATTAGGACTACATGGATTATTGCATAGTGCATATAACTGGAGATTGAGGTATTTCAATAAAACTTGCAGCTTTGACCTTAAATCCAATTCGGAAATTTGAATATTAAAAAAAAAAAACCCTCACCAGGGACTATGCCAACTGCATAGGACAATCTGAATTTTCAATCTGTAATTAATTTACCTAGTATGACCCCTGATAATATTGAGAAACTGGCTAGCTTGAGTTCTATTACAAATATATGTGTTAAGAGAAAATCCTAAATGAAAAGTGACCAGTATTAAGTTTGTATTTTCCTCTAATATTTACATATCAACCTCAGTAGTAAGATAAATTGAAGATCCATAATTGCTTCATTTTTAAACTGAAATATTTACTTACACTGCATATAACAATAGGCCCATAACACCTTAGATACAGGTCTCTGAAAATCTAACCTATGATCCCTACATATCTGTAAAGCAATATAAATCGTTCTTTGTTTTGCTAAATAGACACACTAACTCTTGTTAAGAGAAATCTATTAAAGGATAATTATGAAGCATCATTTGAATTACTTCATAAAAAATAAGTTTTGGGGGAGATTTTTTTTTTGGTAGGTTGAGTAACTGGACCACCAAGAAGAAAACAGATCAGACAATCATTCCCTATGCCCTTCAACATATTGTTTGTCCTTTAATTGGGAAAAAATGTTTTCTCATGAAGTGCAGAATACAATCTATACCTTCATTAAGTAAAATAACTTACCTGTGCTCATGTTATATTTTGGAAGGTAAGGTTAAATTTCCAATTACATTTTTCATTCTAATAAATTCAGGAAATTTTCACAATAACAAATCTTGAGATTGCGATTTCCTTTTCAAGTACCTTGTTTCCAATTGCCTTTTTTGGTGGGAAGTTAAAAGTCCTCACTTGGTATTTATTCTGTAATTTGTGATGTAAGCTTCTGAATTCTGCATATCTTCGATACACATTCCATTCATCATCTTTTATCCTGATATATACCTGCCAGAAGGTAGATACAAAAGATATTTTAAATTCAACTATTACATTCTTTTTGTCACTATTTTATTAAATGAAGTACACATATACACACACGCAATTTTCACATTTGTGTCATAACAATAGAATCATAGAAAATTAGGGCTCAAAGGGACCTCAAGAGGTCATGTAGTCCAACCCCCTGCTCAAATCAGGACCATCCCCAACTAAATTGTTCTAGACAGGGCTTTGCCAAGTTGGCTCTTCAACACCCCCCAAGGATGGAGATTCCACCAGCTCTCTAGGTAACCTATTCCAGTGCTTCACCACCCTCCTAGTGAGAAAGTTTTTCCTAATATCTTATTAAACCTCCCTTGTTGCAACTTGAGACCATTGCTCCTTGTTCTGTCATCTGTCACCACTGAGAATAGTCTAGTTACATCCTCTTTGGAACTACACTTCAGGTAGTTAAATGCTGCTATCAAATCCCCACTCAGTCTTCTCTTCTGCAGACTAAATAAACCCAGTTCCCTCAGCCTCTCCTCATAAGTTGTGTGCCCCAGCCCCCGAACCATTTTCATTGCTCTCCACTGGACTCTCTCCAATTTGTCCACATCCTTTCTATAATGGGGGGCCCAAAACTGGACACAGTACTCCAGACGTGGCCTCACCAGTGCAGAATAGAATGGAATACTAATGCACCCAGTATGCTGCTAGCCTTCTTGAAAACAAGGGCACACTGATGACTCATACTGGAAGTTGTTGAATTTTAGATCCACAAATATATCTTTTACTCAATACAGTCATTACATTTGCTGGTTTTATTTTACAGGTCATCAATCTAATTCTATTTTATTAAAATTAGTGATAACCTTAGGTGCCGAGTACCCAGGGGCCCAAGGGCCCTGATCACCCTTGGGAAGAGGGTAGGGCAACCACCCACCTTTAATTGGGCAGGACAATCCAGTCCTGAAATGGGAACATCAAGTCTCAGTCCTGGGCTGCAAGACTCCAGGACACCATTTGTCCTGGATTCCCAGTACCGTGCAGGGATCCGGGTTTTTTGTTCACTGCAGAAAAATGCGGGAAATGGCAGGTTTCTCCTTGCAGGCTGTCAGAGTTCCAGCCTGCTAGGGGCTGCTGGGAGTGGGACGCAGGGGGTGCCACATGCAGCTATGTGCATATACACATGCACATGACCAGGAACACAGCCCCAGGCAGCAGAGAAGAGCAGCTCCCCCAGCTACCTGCAGGTAAATTTGGGGGGGGGGCAGATTTAGGCCCCCATGGTGAGGGGGGAAGTGGGGCAGGGGCTGGGGGCACTGCCTAGCCAGAGCAGTGCATGGAGCCCAGGGTCAGGGTGGGGAGTGAGACAGAGACATGAGCAGCTTGTCCAGGGTGTGGGGGCATGGGGCTGTTCCCTGTTGCCCACCCAGCACCAGCAGGGGCAGTAGCATGGAGCTGTGTCCCCCACTACTGCTGGGTGGGCAGGGGGTGCCTTGCTATGGTGGCGCAGCCAGTGCAGGGCTCCCAGGGGGAGGGCAGCAGGGTGGGGGGTCTTGAGCTCACAGTGGGCAGCCCACATCCGCCACCACCCCCCGCACTGGCTCTGCTCAGCTCTGGTCCAGCCATGCTGCTGGTGGGAGGAAGGAGGGGGCATCATTTTAGCTTCCCCTACTTGCAACAATAAGAATCCATGCCTACAGTAATGACATACTAACATTCATTATCGCAATACATTTTGAGTGTAATTTTGTGATAACTATTAATGCTTTCTGTTTCCATGGTTCCCAGGAAGTTCTCCTGGCCAGTGTATAAAGGAAAAAATAAAGGGAAAAGTCTGATTTCTATCTAGTCAGTAGAGTGTTCCAACTTCATGTATGGACTGGTAGTTATTGTTACTACATTACTAACTTTATTTATTAAACTTACACTAAAAGAAGCCACACACCCTTTGCAAAACAACTGTCTTTTTTAAAGACATCAAAGTAAATTAGAAATAAAATATTATTTGCAAAACAACAAAAAAACTTCTCCTCTTGTAGATAATGTAAAGTACAATTGACATGTAATTTAATGTATCTGGCTTTTTTTTTCTTTTTTGGTTTTGTTTGGTTTTGTTTTTCATGGAAGTACTACAATAATGTACTATTTATTGGCATTCTCTTGGAGATGAAAAGCCCACAGCAAACAAAAAAAAAATCATCATAAGAAATCCTAGATTTCATTAATGGTTCTGGAATAATTTTTCATTTAGGAAAGAAGGCTTGTACCTTTACAGATGGGACAGACAATTCATGGCTCCAAAACCCAGAAACACCACAGTGAACTCAGAGCTTGACACAACATTCAGAGGAGAACCACTATCTTCTATTGTCTGACTTTGGGGATAGGCAGGTGTAACAACTGCATAGCTAATAAACAACACCAAAATAAGTTGTTATAATGGAAGTGCTACATCTGCCTCATTCTACAGTGATACTGATGTAGCAAAATTCCTTCCACTTCAACCAGTTCATCTGGTGTCAAAGCTACTGTTATTCAGCTAACCTGTACAGCTATAGCATAAGCAGATTTAACAGTTTTATAACAGCTGAAATGTGCTCCTAAAGAAAGCTTCCCTTCCCTTCTTATAGCAGCTAACATGTACTTTTGTCCAGCCCTCTGTATTATTCCAGCCCCAGCAGTTCAGGAACAGTTTTACCAGTGGCTTTCTTTCTGCAGCATCTATGCCTTCTTATTTTTACCCCAAATTTTCTAATGTTAATAAACATGGGTACCTTAAATTATATGCTGGGGCAGGTTAGGACTGATGACACAAGTCTTCTTTGACTAAACCCAGCAATTTTTAAAGAGTTTCCAGATTACCAAAAGGATGATAATGTGAAAAAACAAAAGCAATACTAATGGTCCTATAAAACAAAGAATGAACAAAAAAGAAATACCCCCCACCCCCAAATAAAAATAAGCAGGAAAAAGCCAAAGCCCAAATATTCAAACTTGGTTGCCTAAAATACCTTTTCAAATCCACACTGAGGTACCTATTTAATTGACTGGATTTTCAATGTTGCTGAGCAGTATTAAGCACTGATTATTTAGATGCCTAAATTTGGGGGGAGGGAGGACCTATGAGATGTGTGTAAGTAATCACAAACCACCACATTAAATATGATGATTATACAAGAATACTGGGTGTTATATTAAGTGATGGAACTATAGGGGTTTAGGCCTCAGTTCAACCAGATAATTAAACTGTTCCCTTGAAGGCAATGAGACATTTGATACATTATGCAAAGTATTTAAAAAAAAATACTTTTGACTGCTTATCCATCCCGCAAGTAATATACTGTGCTTAAAAACATATTAATTCAACATATAACTACACTTCATGTTTTCCAGGATTCTGATAAAACTAAAAATGTCTAAATTATTTTAATGTAGTTATTTAATATGGAATTCCTAATTTCACTACTGAAGTACAGAGAAAATTGTAATTTGGTGAATCATGCAGTTCAATGTTACCTATTAAGCTGTAACCTGTAGTTAAGTAATTAAGGAGTCCAATACACTGTAATTGAAATTTTTAAACATTGCAAAAACATAGATTCACTTCTTTTATAAATTACTAAAGGATTTCTTGCTGTTCTTTCAAGTACATAGTTATTGATTTCTTTGAGATTGTAAAGTGTGAAGAACCAAGAGCTCTGTGCCATATTGAATTTATTGACAATCATATAATAGAGTCTGAAAGGGCATATTAAAGTTTCTGCTTTGGTACGAGCATTTAAAGCTTTACTATCTCAACAGGGAATACTATTAACAAGCCAAGATATTTCAAGACAGTTAATCCCAACTCACTTGGGAAATCAAACAAAATAAGTCCTAAATGTTAAAAAGGTCGGATAATCCTGGTTTAGTTTAGTCATATGAAAACATAAACAGCTACTCTTGTAGGAATAAAACACAGATCACAGAACCAACACAGAAGAATGAAGAACAAAATGTCTGTCTTCGTAGGTGATGTTCTATTATATACCCCAAATCAAGCAACTCAAAGCAAAGGTTGAAAACTTGACCTTATTAAGTCAGTAACACCCTGCCATTGACTTTAATGGGACCATAATTTCCTGCATAGTCTTTAATAAAGGGACTCATCTAAATTTGTCATTACCAAATAAACAAATCTAAGATGAAAGCTATAATGAATTAGTGGCTCTCAAGTCATAAGTATAGTAGGAGAGGTTCCAATATCTTAGAATATTAATTATTTCAAATAATAAAATATACATAAATTCACTTGAACCAAATTAAAATATGGGAAAAGAGAGAGATGATCAGCTCTCAATAACCCTTAACAGAGTAGAACATGAACCACTAAAAACCAATATCTTAAGAAGAATAACATTACTTTTTTAGTGCCTACCTGTGGATCACCTATGGATCTCCCTAAAAAAACCTTGCCTCCATTTGTGCACATAGAATATACTGGGACAGGTAATTAGCCATGCTAGTCTGAAGTCAGGCAGAAGGCAGGGTAGATCTGTACCTTTACAGACTAACTAAATCAGAGATATATACCATAAGCTTTCATAAACAAAGGGGTTAGAAGCAGACCTGCTAAATAGAAAGCGGTGATTATAGGACCAATGGTAAGGAGGAGGGGAGAAAGAAGAAGGGGGTGCTGCTGAAAGGCAAGGTGGGTAAAAGAGGAAAAAAATAAAGCAGCTAATCCACTGAGGGATTTTGGGTTTATAAAAGCTAATCCAGGTAATGGGATAAGAATCCGTAGTCTCAATTTACAGTATACTTGAACACACTCTGGTTGGTGATATCTTGTTCCACAATTTCCCATTCAAGTTTGTTTTCAAAGTTTTGTTGTCTAAGAACAACCATTCTGAGATCCGTGATGCAGTGTCCAGGGAGGTTAAAATCATCTGCCACAAGGCTTGTCTGTCTTTCTGGTAGTGATGTCAAGTCAGTGTTCATTTATTCTTATATATAGGGAATTGCCCTATCTGTCCATT